TGTACAGGAACAAAAGAAAAAGAAGAAAAAGAGGAACTGAACCCGCTCTGATACCAAGTTGAGAATCAGTCCTCTAATATTAGGTTTAAGATCAGTGATTAACAGTACAAATCAGATCTGAATGGAAGTGCAAGAGCTGTGTATGTAGAAGAGAAGAGGTAAGAGAACAAGAAGTCGAATTAGGCTTTTTCCTCCTCTAACCCTAATTTTATTAAATTCTAAAACAAATTGATGATGACAAGTATACCCTTAAGTGGGCGGCCAGCTTGGCAGTTACATAAGGGAAATAAAATAAGAACAAATAACAGGCCCATCAAGTGAGGCCCATCAACATAAAATAAAAGATAAAGAAGGATATCACATAAGAAGCTGTTAGGGCCCATTCGGCCCAGTCTCTTTACACAATCTTATTCAGGGTTTCAAAGTGGGAATAGAGGAAATCCATGTGACTCATTTACAGTATGCTATTTTTCTTGAGGCTAAGAAGGACTATCTTATTAGTTTGGAATGATTTTAAATTGTTTTGAGGTGGTTACTGGCCTCAAATGCAATAGCATCACTGGCATCAGTGTCCCTCTGGAGCTTCTAGAAGAGTTAAGAAGTCTGGACTGTACAGTGGAGAACTGGCCTATAAAGTGTTTGGGTTTGCCCCTGGGTGGAAACCCCAGATCTTCCAACTTTTGGGACCCAATCACCCAATTACTGAAAGTTGTGAAAGGAGACTTGATTCTTTCATGATGTTTCTTTGTGTTTGGTATACTTACATAAGTCCATTGCAATGTTTAAATTATGGACATACTGATAAAAAATGTTTAAATTATGGATAGTGCTGTTCCCAGTACTAAGAAGAAAGAACTTTGGTGTTCAGGTTGTAAAAGATTGTTTTTTAGTTCTGTCTTATCTGTCCTTGAACTTAAATGATGACTTTATTCCAATTTTTAGTTAGAAATTAAATTTGAGCTTCATTTTTCAGGTTATCAGGTGTGAAACTTAGAGGTGGCCAAGTGAACAAGATTGTGGAGATCTCAAGTTTGGGGATCTATTGTAGCACTTCTCTGGGAACTCTGAACATTGATGATGATAATGGCAATGACTCCCAATTCTGTAATGCGAGATTTGAATGTGGCTTAAGTGATTATATACTTGCACCATTTGATGTTGCTGTATCTCTTGTGGTATGCACTTCTGATCTGTTTTTGTTTTAATCTATAACAACCTAAATTTTATTGATTTATAATTACATAATGAGTACAATAATGCAATTGCCAGATTGTGCCTGGCACTCCTGTTTTTTATAGGCTAGCCAGCTACTACCCTCCAATTCTTCTTTGTATTTAAATCAGGGTTAATTACTTAAATATACCCTTTAGTTTTATTAAACTACTTAAATATACCCTGTGGTTTCCAAAACAACTTAAATGTCTCATGGGTTGATACCATTTGACACAAAGAGGTTCTCCATTAAAATGTGTTGGGTCATCTTATATTTTACTAGTATTCCAACTTTTCCCCACAAGTGGGTTCAAATCCAAAGCTGTGTTGCACATTCTTTTTTGGTATTTTAAATAGGGGTTCCTCTGTGCAGTTTTTGATATTGTAAATAGGCGTCAAATCCAAAGCTGTTTCGCAGGTTCTATTTCATTTATTTGAAGCCTCATATTGATATTCAGAGTGTTGAAGATTAGTCAATTTTGTGTTGTTTTAAGAGTAGATGTTTTATGTTAGTTGTTAGATAGGAAGTGGGGACCACAACAGTTATGTGTCCAAATTTTATGGTTTATTTGAGTCTTTTATATGCTGTTTTATGTTTTGCCGCCCTATAAGGGCATGGTAGTCTTTGTACTATTATATTTTTAATATAAATATTAAGTGAAGGGGGCGGCCAGATTTTTGCTCTCTTTCTTTTCAAGATCTCTTCTTCTCTTCTTCTTCTTCTCTCTTCCTTCTCTCTTCAAGAAACTACTTTTTTTTTTCTTTTTTATTTTTGAATTCAGCAGATTTCTACTTGGTATCAGAGCTTCGACTAGGATTCTTGAAGCATTCTCATGCAACCCTAGATCAGCTGATTGCATGAAGTAATAAAGGGCTGATTGATCTGCTATAGATTGCCTAGTTCTTGGATTTTTTGGTGGGATCTAGTCATCAGGAAGGTGATCTTCGTTTTGGCATCAAAACCAAATTTTGCTAATCCCGGAGGGATCTTATCACAGGAGGGATCAGACCCCTGAAATTTTGATAGGAGGGATCTTATCACAGTACAACACTTCTGAAAGAGCACCTAATTTTGCTAATCCATCTGCAAGAGCGTTAAAATCCCTTGTAATCCAGCACAGATGAACATTTGTATTTGCCAGTAGGTTCCTTGCTTCTGTCAGAAAATGACTGAGTCTCCACGGCCCATTTTCATCCCTTAAAACTCCTCCAACACCAGCAGTTCCAGGGTTGCCTGAGGCACTTGCATCAAAACATAGGGTCCAAGTTCCTTCCCTCCTATGTAAGGGGCCACTTTTGATGGGGAAGAGGGGTGAAGGGGGGGAGGAGAAAAGGAAAAAGCCAGCATCCTTGTTTAGGTCGTTTATAGAGACTCCTTTAAACTTGTCTGAGCTGGAAGCCCACTGATTACATTTAAAGGTAATGCGAGAGATCAGATCACTCTTCGTCTTTGCCTTGTTCTCAAACAAGCGGTTGTTCCTTTCTTCCATAGTTTTCAAGGCGCCAAGGCGAGTCTAGGCGACAGGGGGGCGCCTAGTCACCTAGTCGCCTAGGCGTCACCTAGGTGATGGATTTTTTTTTTTAAGTAAAAACATGTATCCTAGGGTAGTTCCCTAGGTTCCATAATCACATTTCCTTAATAAATATCCATAATTTTCATAAGAAAAGTATAAACTTCATATTAAAGTATAGAAAATCAACATATTCCAACATATTCATGAGAAGAAAAAGAAGGAAGGAAGAATTCATTTTGGGATGCTTGTAACGAACTATTTATCATTTGCTTCTAATGAAATAAATTGAATTTTATCTATCAAAAAAAAAAAAAGAAGAAAGAAAAGAAAATTCGAAAAACATAGGGGATGAAACCCCTATTTCTGTAATAGGAAAAGAAGAAAAGAAAAGTTGGAAGAAGAAGAAGAAAAAATTAGTTTATAAAAACACAAAATTAGTAAAGAAAAATAAGAAAATGTGTTGATTGGACAACATTTTATGTTCTTTCTTATTAGTTCAGTTTTGAAGTCTTTGAGGGTTCAATACAGCATTTAGCAATGTTTGTGTTGATTAAACCCTAACAAATAAGAAAATAACAAAAAGAAGTTAGTATATAAACACACAAAAATGAATATTTTAATTTAAAAATGTCTATTTTACAAATATAACCTCAAAAAAATTAAGAATATAAAAGTTTGTTATAACACGCTATAGAAAACTGCTTGGCGATTAGGCGAGACGAGACTCCAAGGGTGCCTTGTCGCCTAGGTGTCGCCTTGAAAACTATGCTTTCTTCCCAAACTTCCCAAAGTACAGCATGCAGAATTATTTGCCAATAAACCTTACCTCTTTTACTCAGTCCTTTACCTTGCCATTGATGGAGCAAATCCTGGAGGTGATTTGGGGGCAACCCAGCTGTACCCAGCTAGCTGTAGAAAATGGCTCCAGATGTCCCTGGTTTCCTGGCAGTGAATGAAGAGATGGTCAGTTGATTCCCCTGCTCTCAAGCAAAGGTTGCAAACATGGGGGGAGATGGAAAGTCTGCCAAAATTCTTCCTTTGCAATAGCTTACAATTGTTTATCCTGTGCAGACAGGTCTCCCATACAAAGAAACACACTCTAGAGGGGATGTAGTTGCACCAGACCTTCTTGAAAGGGAAGAGATAATTCTGCTCCTCTGCAACCTGGACCTTGAAGACAGAATTGGAAGAGAAGTTGCCTATAGGGTGAGGTTTCCAGGCACGGGAATCTAGGGAATTAGGGGAGATGTAGACTTCTCTAAGGGAGAGCAGGAGTTCAGTTAGCTCATTGATCTCTGACTCCCTTAAGGGTCTTCTAAGACTCAAGTTTATGTTGCTCTCAGTGGGGGAAGAGGGGAGGGATTGGGAGATGGTGGCTTCTTTGTTTAGGGCGAGGTTAAAAAGTCTAGGGTAGGAAACTGCTAGAGTAGTATTGCCCCACCACAGATCAGTCCAGAATTTTATTTTAGTACCATTACCCACTTTAAACCTTATGAAAGGAAAGAATTTGTTAGAGGTTGAGATGATACCTTTCCAAGGGCTTAATGAAGTTACACGGTTTGAATGAAGGTTGCAATCCCAACGATTGATGTCCAACCCGTACTTGTGATGACAGCTGCCCAAAGAGAGTTTGTTTCTTTAGGAAATCTCCACAGTCATTTTCCAAGTAGAGAAGTGTTCTTCTCTCAGGTGACCAATTTCCAGCCCTCTCGCCTCTTTTGATTTGCAAGTCTGGGCCCACCTCACTAGATTACTTCTTTTCTCCCTTCCACCATCCCATAGGAAGTCTCTTTGAAGTTTCTCTATCTGTGTTCTGATTTTGATAGGTAACATCGTTTCCAAGTGGCTAATGTCTTTTCGCATTTTTCCAACTTTGGCTCCCAAAAACTTTGACTTTTTGGATTCCCACCCAAAGGTAAGCCTAAATAGGTTAGGGGAAGGTTTTCCACTCAATAGTTCAGAATATCCTTGAACCTATCAACAAGAGCTTCTTCAACTGAATTGATTGTCACTATGCTACTCTTTGTGAAGTTAACCCTTAGCCTGATGACTTGTTCAAAACAATTTAGAACCCTTTTCACATTTGTTATGTTTTCCAGATCGGCTGGCTTCTAGGAAAAGAATTATATCATCTGCAAATTGGAGGTGGGAAATGTTAAGTGCACCTCTTCAAAACCTTTTATTAAATTCAGATATTTTGCTTTGTCTACGAGCTGACTAAATACATCCATCACCAGAGTGAAAAGAAAGGGAGAGAGGGGGCATCCCTGCCGAAGACATCTGCTTACCTTTAAATAACATTTCGACTCTGTCTCTCCATTCAGTAGAATTGAAAACCAGGTTGAGCTTATGCATTCTTTTAATCCACTGCAACCATTTAACTCCAAAACCCCTCAGTTTCAAGACTTGGAAGAGGTAATCCCAATCTACTTTGTCATACACCTTTTCAAGGTCTAGTTTTACAAGTAGACCCGACCTGCCACTCTTCCTTCTCTCTTCAACACTTTCATTTGCTATTAGGATACTGTCCACAATTTGTCGATCTTTCACAAAAGCAAACTGATTGGGAGAAACCAAATCTCCTAGGATTTCTCTGGTCCTTTTTGCAAACACATTTGCCAAGATTTTATATACACTCCCTACTAAACTTATGGGCCTGAAGTCCTTTACTTCCAAGACACCTCCTTTTTTTGGAATGAGACAAATGAAAGTTGAGTTATTACCTTTGTTTACAACAGCCGAGTGAAACTCCTTAAAAGCTTCCAAAAGATCTTCTTTTATTATGTCCCAGCAGGTCTGAAAAAAGAAGATAGGAAAACCATCTGGCCCGGGGGCTCTGTCTCCATCCATGTAAAAAATTGCTTCCCTTATTTCTTGTTCCTGCAATTCACTTTCAAGCCAATTCCTCTTTTCTTCTGTTAGGGTCGCCCCATCCCAGCTTCTCAGAGTTAGTTTTCTGAAACTTCCTTGGAATAGAGCTTTTTAAAGTGGTTAAGAAAAGTCTCTGGTAACTCCTCCGCATCTTCTACCTCCCTTTGGTTAACTTTAATTCTTGAGATGTAGTTTTTCCTACGCCTTCCTGAGGCGTGATTGTGGAAGAATTTTGAGTTATTGTCACCTTCCTTTAACCATTTGATGCTAGACCTTTGTCTCCAAAAGATTTCCTCCCTTCTAACAACATTCTCCCAGGAGTTTCTCAAGGCTTCTCTTCTCCTCTTTCCTTCTCCATTCAAGGTACCTACCTAATCCTTTTGGTCTAGATTCTTGAGCTCTGAGAGGATAGTACTTTTTTCCTCTACAAAAGATTTGAATTCTTCTTTCCCCCAGATTTTCATCGTTCTTTTTAGGTATTTCAGCTTTTGTTGAAATTTGTATCCAGCCCAACCCTCTACTTTGTATTCCTTCCAACAGGATCTTACTTTCTTGTTAAAGTCCTTGTGCAAGGTCCACATTTTTTCTATCCTAAATGGGGATTTTACTTTCAGAACCTTGTCTGTCCGCAGGGCTATAGGCCAATGATCTGAAGGGGTCTAATTTCTTGGATGAGATCTAGAGGTCGGACCATGATGATGTGGCATATACATATTTATACTATGGGTCATATAAATACTATATATAATATAATTTACAACTTTTAATGTACTTAAATATGTGGATGGATGGTAAGCTTCTTAATTTTTAAAACAAATGACTAGGGTTCAAGCCTTTTGACTTACATTTTCTTTAAAATACATGCATAATAATGTAATATGTATAATAATTAATAAATAATCATTAATTAGTATAAGTAAAGAGGTGGATTAGTGGTAATTAAGTAATCTGTGAAAATAAGAGGTCTTGGGTTCAGATCTTGTTAACAACATTTTAAAATTTCGCTTATATATGGACCCGGGCGGCTTCATGAAATTGAGACCGGTTCACCAGTTTTCCGATTCAACCGGCTGGTCATCCAGTTTTCAGTGGGCTTTGAGCAAGTCCGGTTATTGGGGTATGACCGAACCGGCCAAGGCCCCGGGTCACGGTTCAACCGGCTAGTACGGTCCAGTTCTCTAAACACTGGTTATTTGAGGGTGCTGCCTTAATGTTAATCATACCTATATTTCGAGCTTAAGAAAAATCTTTTTGAGGTGATCTCCATTGTCTATTACCTACATGCCTCTTAGTAGAGGTTGCAGCCATTCCTCCCTCTACTTCCTCATAATGTTATTAACAAGGATTAAAATTTTGTCATGTATCGGGACGTAACAGCTGATACGTATTGTATCGGGGACCCTTCGATACACCCCTATACATAGTGTTTCAGGGTCCCACCTATTTCAGGAGGTAGGTGGGCCTTAAACTGATCCCCTTGAACCAGTTTGAGAGAAAAAAACTAAAAGGCTGTTTGGCAAGTCTTTTTGGGAAGAGCTTCTAGTAGCTTTGACAGTCAAAAGACGCATTTTTCTTTTGCATTAAGATCTGAGCAGCTTGAAGCCCGGTTGGTTAAGGTGTGTCTTTCTGTGTGAAGATGAATAGAAAAAAAACACAATAGCTCCATTTGGAGCTTCCTGAAAATCGCCCGTTTTGGGATTCTTGCGTCTTTTCGATGCGTTGGCTTTTGGTGGCTAGATGTACCGCGAACCAAACGGGAAAAGACCGAATAGCGGTCTGTTGAGCTTGTAAATTGCTGATAGACCGCACGGAAAAACGCACTAAATTGGGAGTAAAAAAAGGAAGGCATGCTTCTATTACAGACTGATACGCCCCATCCAACATATCGGCCTGTATTGATATTTTGAACCTTAGTTATTAAAGGAGAATGATGAGTAGTAATCAAATGATTATGTCCAATATGCTACCTTTATTGCGATGCACTTGATTAAAGCCTCCTTTTATCTTGCTCTTTGAAGGTTCTTGTGTTCCTCTTCTCCTAAACTGTCCAAATACTCTTGTTTGGTCTTTCTTTTATGTTTTATTTAAGGCTTCTTTGTTGGTTGTACTCCAATGTAAGGAGATACTAACTAAATGGCCAAACTTGATAAGCAGCAAGAAAGATAAGATCTTTTGGCACATCACTCCTTTTGCAGTCTGTTGGGCTATTTGGAGAGAATGGAACAGGTGGATCTTTGAACCAAGTTTAGTGAAAGTCATTGGCATATCGACCATCAGTTACTGATTGGGACCTTTGTTTTGATCAGTGAACATGTATTTTATTAAATTTCAGATTGTAAACAGTTTATACAACTTGGTGATGGGACTGTTGATCCCTTTAATCACTCTATTCTATCCCTCATTACAGTGCAGCCCAAAATAGTTGCTGTGTCAATGCCCCCTGTTTTGCTAAAACATCAGCTAGCCCATTTGCAGTTCTTCGGACCCATTTAAATTCAGCCTCAACCTCCTTTGCAATCTTTTCCACTTCCCTATTCACATGTTCAAACGTCCACAAGGTATCGCTTCTGTTTGCTGCCCAAGAAATTACTACTTTTGAGTCCCCTTCCACCTCTACATTTCTGTATTCTAACTGTTTGGCTAACTTTAACCCTTGTAATAATGCCAAAAGTTCATCCTTCAGTGAGTTTCTGGTGCCAATCGGTCCTGAGAACATACCCAATATCCTCCTTTCAGAATTTCTGAATACTCCTCCTACTCTTGAAATGCCTGGATCTCCAAAGGAGCTCCTATCAAAATTCAGTTTCACTTTATTGCCTTCTGGTGGTTTCCACTCCAGCCTTACTTTATCTCTTACTCTCGAGGACTGTGCTACTTAAGACCAGGTTCTTAGAATGTATGTGACTGAGAAGACTTGAAAGCTATCCAAGGATTTTACCCAATGAGCTAGTTTCACTTTAATGCTATCAATCACTTCCTCTACTGTTATGCTTTTTTTCGGGAAAATCTTGTTATTCCTCTCTTCCCATATTACCCAACAAATTGCTGCCTTTGTTGCTTTCCACATTACCATCCCTCTTTTCTTCCATTGTCTCAAGAAGTCACAGTTGAAGAGTCTTGCCACATCTTGAAGGGGAACCTACCTGCAGCCAAAGAGAGTACAAAAGAATTCCCAAATTTGAAGCACAAAAGAAAAACAGATATCAATAAATGAGGTAGGGTTTCACCACGCTGCAGTATATTGCAAGTGTTTACCTTACCAAGGAATATTTCCCAACAGAAGGCTTGAATCTTCGGGGGAACAGGCTTGCACCAAATTTCTTTCACAGGGAAATCCCCACCTAGGGGGATGGGGGAAGCAAATTTTCTGAAGAAAGAAGAGCAAGAAAAGATACCGCCTGGAGAGCTTACCCAGATTCTAGAATCATCCAGCAAAGGGTCCAAGTGGACTTGCCCAAGTTCCAGTTCACACCATTTGGACACGGTGTTCCCAACATGGATATAGCTTCTCCCTTGAGGTTAGATAGCACAAAGAGATCAGGGAATTGGTCTTTTAGTGGGGTTTCCCCTACCCATACATCTTCCCAAAACAGAATTTTATTACCTTGTCCCACATTGAACTGGATGGAATTGAGGAAAGTAGGGTAGATTTCATGAATTGCTTTCCAAGGAGAAGCCAAAGAACTGTGAGGGGAAATTTTTGCATCCCAGCCATATCCATCCACCCCATGAATGCTCTCAATCACTTTGTGCCGTAGTCTGTCGCTCTCAAAGGGAAACCTCCAAAGCCATTTACCTAGTAGAGCTGTGTTCCTTAATAGGATGTTCCCAATTCCTAAACCCCCTTGTTCCTTAGGTTTTCTAACCTGCTCCCACTTGATCAAATGTTCCTTGGGGAGAGATTGTCGATACTTCAGAATTTTGTAATGGGTAACTTAATACTTCAGTGCTTCTGAAGTGTTCTCTTTTTACTAAAAACATTTCAGAAGTTTTAGTGGAGTGGTGCAACATGGGGACTTTCCAGGAGGTCACCCATCCTAGTGCTACTCATGCCCAATTATCCTTTACTTTTAGGGTTCTGATAGGATCTTTGATCATTAATTTATTAAACTTTATCTTATCAGAATACTTAGCTATTTTTAAAGGAAAAGTTTCATGATTTCTTTCAAACATGGTTCCTAGTAGAATGATGACATGCCATTGTTATTCATGGCAATATGATACCTTGAATAAAGTTGACATTGCCATTATTACTCCACTCTTTATTTTTTTATATTTCATTTTTTGGTAGATTCTCTTTTCTTATTTCTGAATTTGCTTACATTTTTTGATAGGTAATGGTTCAATTTTATTAAAAGCAGTAAATACGTGCAAAGATTACATAGACTTTTTGCAGATAGCAGATTTTACTTCCTTTAAAATTTAATTTACGATTGAGACCAAAAACTGAGCTCTATCCATCCTCTGTTTATTTAAAGCATCAGGCATACAATTTACTGATCTTTGAACCCATTTACTTTAAATTTGAACATTCCTAGTTGGTCACATAAATTGCTTTATTTCATTTCTTTAGGACCAAAATGCTGTTTCATTTTTCATTAGCTATCTACTAAGCACTTTAGAATCACCTTCAATGATTGTCTTTCTATATTTAATTCTCTTGACTGCTGAGCATCCAGTATACCAGCCATAATTTCTGAATTTGCTTTTACATTTCTTAAACATTCATCTGTATGCTAAAATGTTAAGCTATTTCATGAATTTGTTTCTGTGATATAGGTAAACAGATCTGGGAAGGTTGAGAATGGCATACCACAATATTCTGTTAGGGCTGAAATAAATGCTCTGGTTAGTCCTTTCCGCATTGTTCTGTCAATTTTGAAGTTAATTTAATTTATAGTTAATATTTAGTTGGTTGGCCCTGTTATATATTATGTAACCTTTTTGTGTACTGTGGAAAATTATTAGGTGATGTCATTGAATGAGGTTCAGATGCAGCGAATCTTAATTGTTTGGGATTATTTATGCATCTGTCAGTTGAGAAAGAAGTAAGTGATGATAATTCCTAATGTTTGTTTCTACCTTTCCTCCCCCCTCACCTTTTGCTAGTGCAATATTTATCACCATTTTGATTAATCCATCAACCATTTTATTTACCACAAAATTTGTGTTTGAATAATATCGTTTTAGTTATTTTCTCACTTTTACAAATATAAATCGGTCTATTAGTTGGCTTTGTACTAAACATTTTGCATGCTAAAATCATTTTATCTATGGTTGTGTCTGATCCTAGGACTGTGAAATCATTTTAGTAACTAGAAATTGATAGACCTAGTATTCCATGGTCACCCACCACAGCTTATTCTAAAGTTAATTTTTTTTGGTGTTAAAGTTACATTTCAATTGGTGTACCAGTGTTTTAAAAGGCGTGGGAGGCGTATGCCTCCGCTTCGACAAGACCCCCCTTTCAACTAATGTTATGCATCTTCATTCTTCTTAATATAAAAGATTTTTATTAAAAATAATGGAAAAATGAGATCCCCCTTCCTCCTCCTAACCCTCCTCTTAAGGAGGCTTATGCCTCCTTGTGTTCGGGAGGCTTACGCCTCTTGCATTCTGAACTATGCCTCACACCTCTAGGTAGTGGAACGCCTTGCATCACGCTTCTGCGTTTTAAAACATTGTGGTGTACTTTGGAAAATCTAAGGAATTTAGATATTTGAAATCACTTCGCTATTTTTATTAAGATATTTGGGAAATCTAACGAAATTAGGAAAAATTACTAAAATCATGGAATTTGTTGATGAAACATTCTAGATTGTTAGAAGTATAGTTACACATTTAAGACGTAAAAAAGCATAGAAATAATTGTATATATTAAACAAGAGTATCTCTCTGTTTCCCTTTAAGCCTTTTAGTCTTCTCGTCTGTAGTATGTCATTCACTTTCCATTTTGACTTCTTTTTTTATTTTTCTTACTATATATTTTGATTAAGTTAAGAATCTCTTTTATGGTTGTCTTTTTTTTCTTTTTGATAATTTTAACAAAATATGGGAAGTTTTGATAATGTTCTAAAATTTTAAATTTTATATATTTAATTTGTCATGGCATTGAACACAATGGAATGGTGAAACAGGATTCATGCAACATATAGTAGGGACAAGGTTTAAATGATGGTGATGATGTTTAATTTTTCAATGAAATTCAAAATATCCTTGATATATTGACAATGCATTAGAGATATGAAGAAAAAGGATCCTTGGAATATTTCATACCACTCCCTAATGAAATGGACAGATTTCTGGAATATGTCACCAAATATTACCAATATTACAAACCATGGTTTCATTTGGGAGGAGTTTATATTTAATATAAATGAAAATGTAACCAGTTATTGAAAATTATCTATGTTTTATTTTGGCAAAAAGACGTAACAGTAAGAAAATAATATTGGTACTTCATAGAAGTCAAGGGATGATATTGAGTGGTTATTTTCTTTTGTGCATGAACAAAGTGGTCATATTGTACTGGAGAGTTCCAGCCTATTTGCCTCTGCTTCTACAATGTTGGTCAGTAAAATTTTTAGAAGTGAGGGATGCAATTTAATGGAGGATGGCACCTTTGCAAGATTATGGCATTTGGAAGGAAAGAAACCATAGAATTTTTGAAGATCAATTTTGTTCTTTTCATAGGGTATGTAAAGGGTAAATGTTCCTTTCTAGTGGCTGCTCTTAACCAACAATAACTTTAAGTGCATGAGCAAATCTGATTTTCACATCCAGTGTGATGAGGAATTAGTGCAACATTAAGGGCCGTTTGAAAGGGCTTCAACTTTGACTGAGCTGCTTCACTGAGCCTCTTTGAAGAAGATACTGAAACTAGCTTCACTAGAAAGTCGGTTACTTGGCTGAATGAAAGCATATTGGGGCATTCCAGGTTTTTCACCAAACATAGTTTGTGGGGTGTACTTTACAAAGCCAGAAGCTGCTGCGTGGAAGCCCTCCCAAACGGGCACTAAGAGTTAATATTAATTTGGTGTTGTTTTCTTTTTCTAGTTTCTCTATAAAGTTTCTCCTATGAAAAAAGATTTATCACCCTCCTCTCTTGTTGATTATTTTGTACTTTTAATAACAATAAAGTTTTCTTTGTTACTGATCTGGAGAAGCAAATCATCATTGTGTCTAGGTTGTGTATTGCATATCTGTCCAGTTAATATCTGTATTAAGTTTCCCAAGTACAGCATATCCTGATAAACCTTAATATCTGTACTCTAATTCCACAGATATGGGCGTTACCGGCCTTGGTGTAGTCCTTTATCAAGGAAATTAAAGGGGTGGCAAAAGCTGTGGTGGCATTATGCACAAGAATCTGTATTGTCAGATGTTCATAGCAGGTTGAGGAAGACATCTTGGAGATACTTTGGTTGGCGGATGTAAGTCCTATTTTGCTTTATTTTCAAATAATAGTTGATTGGTATGTTTTCTTTTCCTATTTGCAAATAATAAGCTTATGTCGTTTGTGCCATTTAGTAAAGTATGACTTTTGAATCAAGGGTTAGAATTTTGGTTTGGTAGAAATGTTAGATCCTAATTTAGGAAATATGTCAGAAATGTCATATGGAAATATTGTAAAATTAAAATATGGTGGAAACATTGTGATATATGCAAAAACATTGATATTTTATGAAATGACAAAATAAAAATATATTTTTTATTATTATTTTGTTCAAAATCATCATACAAAGCCAAGAAACAAAGGTTTAATAGACAAAATAATACATTGCAAAGTTGTCTTTTAGACTTTATGAGTATAGTTGTCAAGGCATCTAGGTGATTCTGGGCAACAATGGGGCACTTAATCGCCTAGGTGATAAGAATTTCATTAAATTAAAAATTAAGGTTGTGTTTTGATAAGCTTTTTTAATAAGTTTGTGCTTTGACAACAAGTAGATTCCTTGAAAGAAAGCGTAAATCTACAACAAAAAGCACAAAGTCATTCTGGATTACTTCATGCTTCTGCTACACACTTTGGTTGAGCCTCTCAAAGAACCATTCAACCTAAAAGCTTAAGCTGTTAGGTGAGGTCCCTGAACAGTTTTTTATTCTTTAATGTGCCCCCTCATGTGAAAGCCCATTGGGCTTGAAGCGTGGACAAGCATAGACCCACCCATACCTTGTGCTGAAATTTAAGTAATTATAATAGGGTGGCAAGGATTGATCACTGGGCCACTTGGTCAAAAAGGTTCTGATACCATCTCAAAGAAGCATTCAACCTAAAAGCTTAAGCTGTTAGGTGAGGTCCTTGAATAGGTTTTTATGCTTTTCACAAAATGCAGTAAGGTGCAAATTTATGTGGCATTACCAAGTGTGATATAAACACAACAAGGCATGCACTTGGTCATAGTTTTCAAGGCGCCCAGGTGAGGCTAGGCAACCAAGGGGCGCCCAGGCTCGCCTAGGCGATGAAATCAGAAAATAGTAGGCCTACGTGTTTCTATCCTTCATGAGCTAGTTACTTGGTTTTATACATTAACCTACAAACCTCTAAACTAAATTTTCTACTTATGATTCTTGTAGGCTTAAAGCATGCAACACAGAATATTAGAAATAGAAATTCGGACTTAAAAAGAAGAACTGTAGCCCGTGTTTGACCAAGAAAAGAAAAAGAACTTAAGGAGAAAACAGGGAGGCAGAGCCCTGTTTTAGACCAAAAAAGGAAAAAAGAACAAGGGGCTCCACTGCTGTTTTAGACCAAGAAAAACAAGGAGGCGGAACCCTTATTCCAGGTTACCATTGAGGAGGACAAAAGTGCAGGTAAAAGGGTGAAAAGTTTGCAGGAAAATGAAGAAGAAACGAAGGGGGTGAAGCCCCTGTTTGATTCCAAAAAAAAAAAATCATGCAAAAAACGTATGGAAAAGACAAAAAAACAGGAAGAACCAACAAAAAGGAAGAAAAAAAAAGGCTGAAAACAAAGAGGGTAGGAGGAAGAATAGGCGGGCTGAAAACTGAGAAGAAGATGATTCATTTGACTACCTGGCATAGTCGAAGTTGTTTAGACTTCTAGTTGGTTATGCAGCATTGCAGAAACAGTTGGAGTTGGACTGTGTGTGAAACATACCTGACCGGACAGCTCTTCCTCTTCTATTCAGTTCTGCCATGAAAATAAAACCCTAATAAGACAGCACTCTTCTAATAAAAAGAATGATAATGTGTGATAGGTTCTATTGTAATAACAAAAACTAACCAATAAAAACTATTTGCAGCAAAAGAAAAGTAAAAAACAATATAAAAATATTAAAGGATCAATGTATTAATGTGTCTTGCATCTAGTCTAGGCGTGCGCCTTGGAGTTAAGCGCCCACCTAGTCGCCTAGGCGTGCGCCTTATACAAACTTATCATGGCGTCTGGGCGAGGTGAAGTTTGAAAACCACCTAGTTGCCTTGACAACTATGCACTTTGTAAAATTTGTGACACATAGAAAAATGTCAGATGGCAAAAACATCACAAAATATATGCCAGGTGGCAAAATTTGTGACATGAAATAATATGCTATGAGGTAAACTTTGTGGCACATGGCAAAAATATATGCCATATGGCAAAAATTGTGATACATGACAAAATATACACCATGTGGAAATCTTCTGTTTGAAAGTGCTTGGACTCCCATTTCTTCTATGGTCCCATGAAAACTTAAAGAAAATTGCAGTTTTGTGCGGAGGAGTTCTGGAAGATGCAACCAATCTCAGTGCAACACCTTTGAAAGTGAGAGGGGTTAAACTAGAAACAATACTGAAAATGGTGAAGCTGGAAATGGTGGTATGGCTGCTGTCATCGGTGGAGGAGAGACTATGGAGAAGCTTGTGGGAGGTAGAAGACAATGGCGTGGCAAGGTCAAGGAAGGAAAGTGTGAAGAAGTCTAACCATTGTTGCAAAGAAAAGGTAATTGCTTAGGCTATGCATTCAAAAGAGTTTGGCCAGATTTCTAAAGAGGGATTAGAATTTGGGCCTTCCATTCTTGATCCTGGGGTTACTAAAAGATCCTACGCTGAGGTGGGTGGCAGTTATGGGGCGGCAATAGGGGAAAAAATTTGAAAATGTGCCAAAAATCAACCTGGGGGTTAAACTGATTGAACCAGACAGCCCAACCCCAACTTATATCTTAACTGGGTCACATGACCTAAAAAATCAGGTGAGCAACCTGGCCCAAAGGTTGGGGGACGGTTGTGGGGGTCTATCATCGTCCAAATCGACCCCTGCAGCCTCCTCTAACGCTGTGGTTTCGAAAAACCTTCTTAGACTCCTAAAGCTCTCGGAGGCTCTGGTAAAGGAGTCGCTTGTACAGATATATAAGTTGCTAGCATACATGAGTTGGAAGACAATGGTTGGGAACTTGGAATTTTGGCAAGGGATACAACTGCCTCTCCTTGGAAAACCATATATAAGTTGCTTCTAGTCTTCTCCCCTTGGATCAGGTATGGTCTTAACTCCGGTAATAGAATAAAATTTTGGGAACAACTTTGGGTTGGGGACTCACCTTTGATGGACCAATTTCCCTCTTTGTATGCTCTATCAGATTTGAAAAATGAACCCATATCATCCTTCTTAAGCCCTTCAGACTCTCCTTTTGGTTTTGGGTGGAACCTAGTGAGAAGGGCAATTAGGGATACAGATTTGGGCCACATCATGTCTTTGTTAGCCATCCTTGAAAATATTTTCTTGGACCCTAATAAGGAGGATACCAGATTTTGGGTTCCTTCCTCATCAGGTGTTTTCTCTTGTGCTTCGTTTTTTGAGACATTAACTCAACCTTCTGATCCTATTGGGTTGTCTTTCCCGGTTAAAGAAATTTGGAGTAGGCCCATTCCTCCTCGGATTGGTAGTTTTTGTTGGGAAACTTTCCTGGAAAGAATTAACACAAATGACCTACTTCAGAAAAAGAGACCCAATTCTTGTTTACTTCCTAATAGGTGTACTCTATGTAAAGCTGATGGGGAAACTGGTTACCATCTTATGGTTACTTGTTCGGTTGCTAAATCAGTATGGGAGTGGGCTTTTTCCCTTTTTGGATGTGTTTGGATTCCCCCTGGGGACGTCCAAAGCTTGTTCTCTTCTTCTTTTTTCAAATGGCCGAAGAAGAGAGGGAAGATTATGTGGAGAAGCATTAGGGTAGCAGTCTGTTGGACCCTTGTTAAAATAATTTAGTTGCTGATGTTAGGGCCTGTTTTGGCTAATTAAAGTGTTTTTTTTTTTATTTCGTTTTTCTCTTTCTGTTATGTCTGTTATTGTACTCAGGGGCACAAGGGTCTTTTCCCTTGTTATTTCTGCCGCCCTATATATATTAAAATAAAGGCTGGCGCCGCCAGTACTGTTACATTGCAAAACCCTTCTTTCTTCCCTCCTCTCTTCTCTTCTTCTCCTCTTCTCTTCTCTTCTCTTCCTCTTATTTCTGGCCAGCCATACTGTCAAGATGGTATCAGAGCGGGAATACTGATTAAAGAAAGCAGATCGAACAACCTTACTGAGAGAACAGATCGAACAGACTAGCAGAACTTGGGTGGAACAAAAATCTGATTCGGGACTGAAAAAAACAACTACAACTGGTACAGTTCTCCCTGTTTCTCTCTTTACCCTCCTTGGTCATGTGCCGAGTGAAAACCCTATGAGTTTGGGCGGGCTGAATGCTGTCGAATCTGTGTACCCCCTGTTTTTTTGGATCGTGTGATCCTGTACATGTGTTAAGACAACTGTAGGTCAAGGATGACCTGTCTTCTCAATGGTTTGATTTGACTATAAGTAAGAAAGATCTCTCCTGCTGATTAGTGGCTGTTAGACATTCTGGAATTCTGGTAGGTGGGACTGTTAAAACTATACAGGTCTAAAATCTGTCGAGTATTACCTCTGTTTTGTCCGGAATTTGGTACTGTTTGTGCTCAACCTGGTTATTAAACCCAAGTGTGTGGGTGTGAACTGAGTGGAGCATTGTTTTGTGGAGTAAGGAGGGGTCCTAAGTCCGGTGTTCGGGACTGATTTACTGTTTGACCATGTCGACTGAGAATTCTGCT